TTAAGCCAAGTCTTTGGAGCCTCTCTTCGTATGGCAGATGAGACAGTGATGAGACAAGTTTTGTGGCCCTCCTTTGCACCTTCTCCAGCTTCATGATATCTTTCTTGAGGTAGGGGGACCATGCTTGAATTGCAAATTCCATCCGTGGTCTTACAAGTGCCTTGTATAGCGGCAGGAGGGTTTCTTCACTGAGACATGTTAGGGTGTTCTTGATACGGCCTAGCATAGAGTTTGCTGCTGCTGCTGCTCTGGCGACTTGCATGGCAGGTTTCAGGTCAGTGGTTATTAGTACCCCAAGGTCTTTTTCTTGCTCCGAGTGTGCCAGTTGGGCTCCTCCCATTTTGTATGAGTATTTGGGATTCCTTTTGCCTATGTTCAGTACAGTACATTTCTTCTCATTAAATTTAAGAAGCCACCTGTTGCTCCACTCCTGTAGCTTGTCGAGATCTGCTTGCAGTCGCTGCCTGTCTTCTGGACACTTGATGCGTCGAAAGATCTTTGCATCGTCTGCAAAGAGCTTCCCTCCTGACTGGAGTCCATCCAGCAGATTATTTATATAGATGAGGAACAAAGTCGGTCCCAAAACACTGCCTTGGGGCACGCCACTCCTGACCTTCCTCCAGCTAGATCGTGTTCCTTTAATGCATACCCGTTGCTCACGGTTTGTTAGAAAAGATCGAATCCAGTGTGCTAGTGGGCCCTCAATGCCAGCTGCCCAGAGCTTCGCAAGAAGATGGTCGTGCGGTACTGAGTCAAATGCTTTGGCACAGTCTAAATACACGGAGTCAACGCTGTCTCCATCATCCATCGCATTCTCTAGCTCACACAGATACTCCAAGAGCTGTGTTAAACACGACATCCCAGATCGGAAGCCATGCTGATGAATAATGACCTGACCTAAGCTAAATTCGACTCAAAATGACCTCGAATGACACAGGCAACATCAAATTCGAAATCTATGGCCTAAATGGACCATAAAACATGTGTCACGTGACCGACGCATGATATAATATTTCCGTGACCTGTGATGACCTGACCCTGACCTGAAAATCAAAGTACAAGTTTGGTACCCTCAGGGTATCTAGAGCATCTGTTCACGAGTGTGTAAACCAAAAATTAGCCTGATCTGACTTGTAAAACGGCGGCCAGAGCCCAAAATGTGAACAAGCCAAAATGCTAATAATTTTTACTTTGACCTGACCTGTGACGTCATCGGTGACCTGGAAGTCAATGAAATTAGGTTTCGCTCGACAGTTTTTCCGGGGCTATCAGACGCCGCTTGAATTTTGACGATCGTCCTATTAGTTTCGGAGTTAGGAGGGGGCTATGGAGAGCCCCCCCCCCCCCAGTAGGGCGTGTTATACGCAGACCCCAGTGGGGCGCGGGTTAATTAATCGCATTGGGGATATACGGAGTAGGAGTCAGAGCCATAGCCGGAGCCGGAGCCGCTGGAGCCGGACCATTTTACTCGGAGCTGGAGCAGGAGCCGCCATGACATTTCACCCGGAGCCGGAGCCGGAGCCGGAACCCATTTTTTTCTCCGGAGCCGGAGCCGGAGCTGGAGCCGTCTGAAATTTCTACGGCTCCGCATCCCTATTTCGTAATTATGTGTGATCGGTGATGTATTTTATTTCCATGACTTTACCTGTTATTGGGAAATTTATTGGTCATAATCGCATATAAACAAGCAAACAATTAAACAAAGCAGCATTACCGAGAGAAATGCATTTAGAAAACAAATATCCCGTAACAAAAATGCATGAAGTGAGGATTGTATGTCATTACTTTCAATAGCTCAAGTAGATAGCGGTATATTTTGCAAACCCTTTTTGTCAGGATACCTTACCCGTTCAAAACAGGCACTCTTATTGAGAGCCAAGCCAGCAACAAAAAAAAAAAAACATTTACGTTGTTCCAATGCATTTGTCAATAGCCGTTTACAGGCTTAACCCGCACCGCGACTTCCGCGCCGGGCCGGGTGGGTGGGGGTTGGGGGGTGGGGGGTGTCTGAACACCCCCATCTAACTCGGCTCCTGGGCCATGTAGCGACACGCGGTAAGCGGCATTCGAAAGAGTGTCGAAAATAATGACGGAAACATTGCAGTCATTTTTTGGTCAGGTCAAAGGTCAGGTCGTCAGAGGTCATCAAAGGTCAAATTTAATTTAGTCAATTACAACAATTTTGGAAAGTGCCAACGGCTAACTCCGGAACCAATAGAGCTACAGGGCCGCGGAAAAGCGCATTCGATAGCCCTTTTTACAGACCTTTCTGAATATAGATCTCAGATTTGACCTCAGGTCAACGGTTTAGCCTCTAGAGGGCAAAAATGGTAAAAATAGCAGTTTTCCCGAATGTGGTTTTTGGTCAACAACTTTTACCTCAAGAGAGCCACGACCTTACTTTTGGCTCATCGTGTTCCTCCCGTCGAGACGCGTCGAATGAACCATTTGCTGACCTTGAAAGGTCATTTTGAAAATTTGACCTCAGGTCAAGGTCATGACCTGACTGGAAAGGGTCATGTTGCATATCAGTCGATCCGTATCGTCGAGCTGAATACATCTAACGTGTTTTCATCACTCTAGCACGTCTTTATCAAAAGTTATAGCCAAACAACTGCTGGTGACCGTTCATGACCTGAGATGACCTCAGGGGCACACAGAAGGGTTACAGGTGCATTTTTTCCGATTCAGTGTGTCATGTTTACCTATGAACCGAATTTTGAGAGGGTTTTGAACATCATTCGTCCAAAAGAGGCGCATTTCAATTCTCTCCCATTGACTTATAATGGAGAGGTCGCAAAATTGACCTGACCTTAGGTCACCGATATCAAAATTCCGATATATACATTTTGTACATGCTGTTACTTTCATCAATCGCTGAAAGTTTCAAGGTGATCATTCAGTCGGTGTAGCTATGACGGCTGTGACGAGGATTGAAACTTTTTCTGAGGTGAGGTCACTTGACCTGACCTGGTGACCTAACCTTGAGAGCCCTGGATCAGGAATTTTTACAACAAGTGCGTAAAAGTTGCATTAACAGGTGTGCCAAAAACAGCGGCGGCCGCCGTTTTTAACCCGCGCGGGGCTGGGGTCTCCAGCCGAACGCGCGGGGCTGGGGGGGGGGGTAAATTTTACCCCCCCCCCCCCCTGTTATCTCCCGAACTAATGGTCCGATTTGGAAAATTCAAACGCCAATCGAAAGCTCTCATCACGAACTACTAAAAACATGTACTTAATTTAAAGTTTGAGGTCACGGTCAAGGTCAGGTCAAGGGTACAAATTGCAAGTTTCTACAGTATCGGCCTTGCACCGTAGTTGCCGAAGAATGGAGTCATGGACTGAGACTGATCGCCCAAAACGTGTTATTAGACTACCAAGACAATATTCGTTGCATACATTATCATTCAGAGGTCAAGGTCAAGGTCAGGTCAGGTCAGGTCAGGTCACCAAAAAACAAAATATAGAAAAGGGCATGTGCGACACATGTTTTATGGGTCATTTTACTCATAGAATTCAATAGGCAAACTCAATAAGTGATATGGACCACCTCTGGATGAATTTTAGGTCGAGGTCAGGTCAAGGTCAGGTCAAGTGAGGTCAAATTTTGAAGTTGGTTGTTGTTAAGGCCTAAAAAGGTGTCTATCTGATGCAGTTTTTCACGGCGAATCGAATGGTGCTATTTTTGTTTCCGTACGAGGTCTAGAACTTCCAAAAAAGTCATTTTTCAAAAAAATTGTGTGTCGTGACGTCATAAAATTTTGAATAACTCCCACATTTTTGAACTGATTCTTCTAAAATTTGGTATGTAGGTGCACATAGACCACTTCTCTGACATATATTCCGGTTTTTTCGATAGACTCAAAATTTTGGATTTTATAATGATTTTCCCAAAAAAGTCAGTTTTTTGAAAAAATTTAGGCCAAAATCCAAAATTTTCAAAAAACCGAGATAGCCATTTGATAGACAAAGTATAATTACGCATAACCTTTTTGTTACGTCTTGATTCCTTTAAAAATGAAGATGTTAGCGGCGTTTGAACTTTTGCCGTTTTTGAGGCGAAAATGGCGAACATGACGTCACTAAAACGTCAATTTCTCAAAAATTTTCCGACGGATTTCGCTCAAAGTTTCAGGGAACGTGTCAAATTGATGTAAGAAAAGGTACTGAAAGTTTGGCGGCGCTGCGCGCCGCCGTTTTTGAGATATCGCAAAAATTCGCGAGGGGGGGGGATAAAATTTACCCCCCCCCCCAAGCCCCGCGCGGGTTAAGATATCTGCGAAAACCGCAGGGAGGTGTTCAAACACCCCCGGCCCGGCGCGGGTAAAAAATGACTCGCTTCATTTCTATAAATCGGTCGAGGACGATTATGTTGCATGATATTTATAACAAATTGTATGGTAAATTTGGAAACACGAATAATGCCCTTTCTTCTCACTAGACCAAAAGGTTGACGATGTTATTCAGCGTGATTTGTATACGATTCTTGATAACACATATAAAACAACTTATTATCGTTTCTAAGCCGGAAATGGAAATACACGATTCACGTTTTCTGAACCATTGTTATTGTATTATTGCCTGAATCATATTGATGAACGAACACTACGTTTGTCACCGAGGAATATCTGCTGAGGCATCATCACTGGCAGTTGGTTGAGGACTATTAGTTCCACCACTCACATCTGTTGGTGAGTTTCCCGTGACGGCACCCACAGTCGGCTGTGAGTGTCCAGTGACGACACCTACAGTCGGCTGTGAGTGTCCAGTGTGAGTGTCCCACTCGGCTGTGGGAGGACTCCCACTGACCCCGCCCCCCGCTGTCGGCGGCCCGCCAGTGACCTTACCCACGGTCGTCATCGCCCTGCGTGTGACGTCACCCACCACAGAGAGGGCCGCGCCCGTGACGTCACTGGCTGTCGTCCGATAGCTGCCCGTGACGTCACTCACACTCGACAGCAGGCTGTCTGTGACGTCACTCAGGGTCGACAGGGAGTGTTCGGTAGCCTCTCTCTGTATTGGCAGAGACTGTTCTGTGACGTCACCGACACTCGTCAGCGCCCTCTCGGTGACGTCACTCACCAGAGTCTGCACGGACGCCGTGACGTCACTGGCAGTCGTTATTGAGTCTTCACTGCCGTCACTCGCAATGGACACGGAGCCGGACGTCACGTCACTGGTACTCGATAGAGGACTTCCAGAGACATCACTCTCCTTCGCCACATCACCCATATCTCTCTTGTGAAACGTCATCGCTCGGTTCTCGGCGGTAGAATCCTCATCGCTGGCTCACTCGCAGTAGATGGCGAACACAGAGGCGACGGCTCGCAGCTGCTGGTTGGTGAACTCGGCCCTCATGCAGCGGTCCTTCTCGGCATCCCAGACGCAGCGACTGATGGCCCGCACCGCCTGGCCGCGGCTCTCCGTTACCATCACCTGCGGGACAGACAGACTGGCGGACAGACAGACAGACGGACGGACAGACAGATAGACAGACAGACAGACAGACAGACAGACAGACAGACAGACAGACAGACAGACAGACAGACACAGACAGACGGACAGACGGACAGACGGACAGACGGACAGACAGACAGACAGACACACAGACAGACAGACAGATAGATAGAATGACAGACAGACAGACAGACGGACAGAGGACGGCAGCGCTCAGCGCCGACCACAGTGGGGACCTCAGCGGGGTGGCAAACACCAGTCCAGAATCCTGTCCCTTGCTCTCATGTCGATCCTCCTTCATTCCCTCTGTTCTTACCTGAACGACCAGACGGACTCGTGGTGACACCAGTCCCAGCGTCTCGTCCTTTATTTTCTCCGCGGCGGCCACCGCCAGTCGGCGTGCCTCGTCGGCATCGTAGCTAGGGAGGTTGAGAGAGAGAGAGAGAGAGAGAGAGAGAGGAGAGAGAGAAGAGAGAGAGAGAGAGATAGAGAGGAGAGAGAGAGAGAGAGAGAGAGAGAGAGAGAGAGAGAGAGATAGAGAGAGAGAGAGGAGAGAGAGAGAGAGAGAGAGAGCGAGAGAGAGAGAGAGAGAGAGAGAGAGAGAGAGAGAGAGAGAGAGAGAGAGAGAGAGAGAGAGAGAGAGAGAGAGAGAGATAGAGAGAGAGAGAGAGAGAGAGAGAGAGAGAGAGAGAGAGAGAGAGAGAGAGAGATAGAGAGAGAGAGAGAGAGAGAGAGAGAGAGAGAGAGAGAGAGAGAGAGAGAGAGAGAGAGAGAGAGAGAGAGAGAGAGA